ACAATTTTTATATTTTATCGTGTAACTAAGCAGACTTTGACTAGTATGGGTATAGCACAAGATCTGCTTAGTTTGGGACTAGATGGCGTGCGGTAAAAATATATGATATTATTATTATTATTATACCTCCGTGAAATCAAGAATTTTGAAAAATTATTCGTGTTTACCAGAAGCACGCGTGGACTTCTTTTAAAGGCTGGTGAAATAGAAATCTCCCAGGTTTTTTTTTCAATTCAACAAGCTATTTATGGCATGTATAATATTATTTGAGATACTTACAAACAAATCCGAAGTGAATTAGATGGTACAGCTGAAAAAGCTGATTCCAAAAGATGCATCACTACCGTATTTTGAAAAATAATATTTTTCGACGAAGGGCTTGAGATGTCTGAATCTTATTAGCATGTCGATTTCTTTGTTGTGGTACATAAACTTACAGAAGTCGGTTAAAAAATATACTTTTTTTTTGTATTTTAAACAAATAATTAATTAATTCAAAAGAAAATCTTGTGAAAAAAAAATAAGAAGATAAAGAATTTTCTAGAATCTGTCACTTGACTGAGCTGTCGCTTTTACTTTTTTGTTTGTGTGTCAGTATTCCTCCGTGGCTTTGTTATAAAGCGTATCTACACTGACCCATTATGTTTTTTAGTGCCGGATCATATTATTGGTAGTAAAATATTTGCATATTTCAATAATGATAATCTCATCATATCTGCGCGTTATAATTTGGGTTGGTTTTGTATAGCATACAAAAATACTCGTAGAAAGGTTCACAGAAATAACCAGACCAATCCAAGACTCTAGTTTAATGCGTACAAACATTTGCACTGAACATAAACCCAACTAGCGGCTAAAGGCGTGACAGCCGCATGCTATTGACCTTTGTGTCAATTAGATTTTTATATAATAATATTATACATGACTGAAGGTAAAAACAACTTAAATCTCTGCACATAATAATATAACATTGATCCCTCTGAAATCTTTCACTGTGAATGCTGCGAATTTGGTCTCCGAAGTCCGTGTGGTGACGGATTAAGAATACAAATTGTCACCACCCCAATTCATCCCGTGGGTGTCGTAAGAGCCGACTAAGGGAGCAAACTAAGCAGGACAACAGCACTGCAAAGAGAAGGAGAACTTGAAACAAACCCTTTTTTTTTTTTTTTTTTAACGTGTGGAAATCCCCTCGGACCGTCACCCCTCCGGGGTTTGCGGCGGGGGTGGTGTGTCGGACTCGGACCGACTAAAACCACACGGTGTGCCACTCTGCGCCTGTAACAGGAGGGATCCGGGAACAGCTGTTGTTAAGACATCCGGACCCCTCCTAGCGCCAGCCCGCTCCTGGTGCGGGCTCCGTCTCAGTATATTTTTGTTTTTTTTTTTTTCCCTCTCTTTAGGCGACGTCCGGCACACGCGGACGCCGCCCCCTCGCGGCTGGCCAAACTAATGCGGGTGGAGGGGAAACCCACCCCGTCCACCCGCGGCCACACTCAGGGCGGCATGAGGCTGTGATAGGCGGGCCTCCGCCGCCCGGTTCGCCGGCGGCGGATCGGGTCCGAGTGGAGGTCGTCCTCCCGGGCCCTCTCCGCCGCCTCCTTCCGCGAGATTACTACCTCGCAGAAGGTTGCGACCGCGGTAAAACAACTGTCGCTACCGGCCATGGAGCGTACTACGGCCGGTAGCGAGAGATCCACTCCGATGACTGCAGTGAGGGCCCGGCGCTGCGCCGCCCATGCGGGGCAGACCGCCAGCGTGTGCTGGGCCGAGTCCTCACTGCAGTCGCAGTGGTGGCAGGCGGGACTCAGTTCCCTCCTAGCGACCGTGTGCAGGTACTTTCCGAAGCAACCGTGCCCGGAAAGCACCTGCGTCAGCCGGAAGGAAAGGGTCCCGTGCTGCCGCCCTGCCCACTCGGCGATGACCGGCTGGAGAGCCTCCACGGCGGCGAAGCCAGCGCGTGGAGTCTCCAGCCGGAACGACCAACGAGCCATCGTGGCTCGGCGAGCGGCTTCGCGCCACTCGCGCACATCCTCGGGCGGAGGGCTAAATCCGCTCTCCGCCCGGGAGTCAGCCACTCGCCGATAAACTTCGGCGAGCACTTCCGCCTCCAAATCCCACGGGGGAGTTCCGGCCAACGCGCATGCCACCTCCGTCGAAACGGTGCGGTAACCGCGTATGGCTCTGACCGCCATTACCCTCTGAGGGTGCCAGAGGCGTACCCTATTCTGGGCGGTCAGAGCCGCCGCCCACACCGGTGCACCGTACAGTGCCATTGACCGGACAACCCCCGTGTACAGCCGTCTTGTCGCGACGCTGGGTCCACCCATATTGGGCAAAAGTCGCCCTAGGGCAGACGCAGCGCCGACCAGCTTTGGAGCAAGCTGTCGGAAGTGCTCGTCGAAGAGCCACCTCCCGTCGAGGATCAGGCCCAGATATTTCATCTGGGCTAGAACCGGTACGAGGACCGAGTTGACCACGATTGAGGCGCCAGGGGGTGGACCACGACGGGGCCCATGAAATAACAGGGCTTCCGTCTTATCTAGAGCCACCCGTAAGCCCAGCGCCTCAATGCACCCGACCACCAGGGAGACTCCCCCTGTGGCCAGGCGCGCCGCCTCTTGGAAGTTTGCCCCCCGGGCTGTCACCAGGGTATCGTCTGCGTAACAGATTACACCCAGCCCGGGGGGGAAATCGGCGCGAAGGGCCCAGTCGTACCCTATGTTCCACAAGAGGGGTCCAAGAACAGACCCCTGTGGAACACCGCACGACATGGGCCGACACCTCAAATTACCTTCTCGGTCCTCGTACACGACGGTACGCTCCTCTAAATAGTCTGCCACTAGCCGCCTCAGGTACTTTGGCACCCCATGATAGTGGAGTGCTTCCCTGATGCAGCTGAATGGCAGACTATTGAATGCGTTGGCGATGTCTAATGACACCGCCAACAGCACGCCGCCACAGCTCACGGCCTCTTCGGTCACGGCCCTCAGGCGCAACACGGCGTCGACTGTCGAACGCCCCGCCCGAAAACCAAATTGGGCGTCCGACAGATCGGGGCCCACCTCGCAGAGGTGCCGGACGATGCGGGCAGAAAGAACCCTCTCAAACAATTTGCCCGCCTCGTCCAGCAGCACGATGGGCATATAGGCCGCGACCGAATCGGCAGGCCGTCCCGGCTTCCGCAATAGGACCAGCTTCCCGCTCTTCCAGCACTCAGGGAAGCGTCCCGACGCCAAGCTAGCGTCGAACACCTCCCCGAGGCGGTCTGCCATGTGGTTGAGGGCCAGGGCCAGCACTCGGGCCGGTACCCCGTCTGGCCCAAGGGCGGTGTTCTTGGAACGGATCCGTAGAACAGCCGCCCCTACCTCCGAATCCCGGACGGGCGGAACATTATCCTCCCCGTTCTCCCCGTCGTCTCCGGCCAAGGAGAAACCCTATACCAACCCGTCTGGCCAGCGTGGTGGTATAGTAGGCCAAAACCTCCTTTCTAAGGAGAGGCCTATGTCCAGCAGTGGACTAGTATAGGCTGTTGATGTGATGATGTGTGTGTGACAAACAACTATATATCTGTATAATCAATACATATAAAAGGAGAAACGGATAGACTGATTCACTGACTGATCGATCAACGCATAGCTAAAACCTCTAGATCTGAGCATAAAATTTTGCAAAGATGTCTCCATCTATTTTTTTTTTTATCCATTCACAACTCTCAGTAATTAATCGACTGCACGGATGGCGTAGTGGTTTAAGCGGTCGTCTTTTTAAAAAGATAAAAAAAATCGCAGGAATATCCGCTATCAAAAAATAATAATTTGATTCTTATTTTTTTAATTTACCAAAACGTATGTATATTTTTCACTCAATCACGCCAAAACGGCTTTCTGGATCTGGACGAGATTTGGCTCATAGATAGATTATAATCTAGAATAGCACAGAGGCTACTATTTATCAAGACCTGAAATTATAAAAAGTGTAGCAATAATACCGTTCTCCTTCGCAGAACTAAGACATTTATTTTAGGATGTAAGATGCTGCCCACAATTGATTTAGATTTAGGTTGCTAGTCAAAACAAACATACACTTTAAAAAAGATAATCGTCATTCATCAGTCAAGTAAAAGCATTTGTGACAATAAAAATAATAAATAATTATGTGAATCTGTATTTCAAACTTTAACCGCTAAACCAATTTTTAGAAAATTTTACACACAACATGTGTCGCTGTTCTTGAGCTATAGATAAATAACTTTAATGCGAGTGAAACTGTCGGCAGAAGTTAGTAAGGAACGCGATGACCAAGACGTCTCTCTATGACAGTTTTGTACATAAGGTACTTAGCTCATGTGACCCAAGCCTTAAAATTTACGATCAATAAAACTATTTCCTACTTCTTTCACGTATATTCTTTATTAAAAATAATTTTTTGCTAATTCTTTTTTCAAACAGTTTGTTTTAAAAAGTTCTGTCCACTTAGAATCTGGGAAATTTAAAAATAAATATTGTATTTTTCTCTGTTTAAACGCTATACGAGGTGTTCTGTAGAACCAACTGAGAACAGAAGGTCAGTACTAACAAGAAACTCGAGTGAAATGCAATAACTGAAAAGATACAAAAAAATTATATAAATTTTATAACATAATTTATAAAAAATCCTAAAAACTTTAAACAAAGTTTATTTTCCACTGCATCGTTCAGTATATCTGAGTTTTTTCGGTTCTATTTGATACTCATAACTAAACCAAAATGTAAGTATTGAACTTTTCTTTGATAAATTTGCCTACTTTAAATTTTCTCCTAATGTGGGGTTTCTACCAGGTGCTGCGGAGGTTGCTGTGGAGGCTGCTGCGGAGGCTGTTGTGGCGGGTGCTGCTGCCCCTGCATAACAATCCATACGTGTTGCACCAAGATTTGCTAGTGTCGTCCAGCAGAGTCTTGGTGCCCATCGGCGCCGACAAGCCATGGTGTCGGCGACGATGATCGCGATCAGACCTGCTTTTATCCTGTGCCGTTTTGTGGAAATATACTATTAAGCGTATTACTTTCTATTTTTTCAAAACCACTGAATAACCTCAACCGTTCACTGACTGAACCGTCCACTCGCTCACTGGGCGCAGCCAGCTCGGCTGCTGGGCGCTGGGTAAGACTGTGTGGTGAGAGCAGCAGCCGGCTCGGCTGCTGGGCGCTGGGTAAGACTGTGTGGTGAGAGCAGCAGCCGGCTCGGCTGCTGGGCGCTGGGTAAGACTGTGTGGTGAGAGCAGCAGCCGGCTCGGCTGCTGGGCGCTGGGTAGGACTGTGTGGTGAGAGCAGCAGCCGGCTCGGCTGCTGGGCGCTGGGTAGGACTGTGGTGAGAGCAGCAGCCGGCTCGGCTGCTGGGCGCTGGGTAGGACTGTGTGGTGAGAGCAGCAGCCGGCTCGGCTGCTGGGCGCTGGGTAGGACTGTGTGGTGAGAGCAGCAGCCGGCTCGGCTGCTGGGCGCTGGGTAGGACTGTGTGGTGAGAGCAGCAGCCGGCTCGGCTGCTGGGCGCGGGGTAGGACTGTGTGGTGAGAGCAGCAGCCGGCTCGGCTGCTGGGCGCTGGGTAGGACTGTGTGGTGAGAGCAGCAGCCGGCTCGGCTGCTGGGCGCTGGGTAGGACTGTGTGGTGAGAGCAGCAGCCGGCTCGGCTGCTGGGCGCTGGGTAGGACTGTGTGGCGAGAGCAGCAGCCGGCTCGGCTGCTGGGCGCTGGGTAGGACTGTGTGGCGAGAGCAGCAGCCGGCTCGGCTGCTGGGCGCTGGGTAGGACTGTGTGGCGAGAGCAGCAGCCGGCTCGGCTGCTGGGCGCTGGGTAGGACTGTGTGGCGAGAGCAGCAGCCGGCTCGGCTGCTGGGCGCTGGGTAGGACTGTGTGGCGAGAGCAGCAGCCGGCTCGGCTGCTGGGCGCTGGGTAGGACTGTGTGGCGAGAGCAGCAGCCGGCTCGGCTGCTGGGCGCTGGGTAGGACTGTGTGGCGAGAGCAGCAGCCGGCTCGGCTGCTGGGCGCTGGGTAGGACTGTGTGGCGAGAGCAGCAGCCGGCTCGGCTGCTGGGCGCTGGGTAGGACTGTGTGGCGAGAGCAGCAGCCGGCTCGGCTGCTGGGCGCTGGGTAGGACTGTGTGGCGAGAGCAGCAGCCGGCTCGGCTGCTGGGCGCTGGGTAGGACTGTGTGGCGAGAGCAGCAGCCGGCTCGGCTGCTGGGCGCTGGGTAGGACTGTGTGGCGAGAGCAGCAGCCGGCTCGGCTGCTGGGCGCTGGGTAGGACTGTGTGGCGAGAGCAGCAGCCGGCTCGGCTGCTGCGCGCTGGGTAGGACTGTGTGGCGAGAGCAGCAGCCGGCTCGGCTGCTGGGCGCTGGGTAGGACTGTGTGGCGAGAGCAGCAGCCGGCTCGGCTGCTGGGCGCTGGGTAGGACTGTGTGGCGAGAGCAGCAGCCGGCTCGGCTGCTGGGCGCTGGGTAGGACTGTGTGGCGAGAGCAGCAGGCGGCGCGGCTGCTGGGCGCTGGGTAGGCCTGTGTGGCGAGAGCAGCAGCCGGCTCGGCTGCTGGGCGCTGGGTAGGACTGTGTGGCGAGAGCAGCAGCCGTCTCGGCTGCTGGGCGCTGGGTAGGACTGTGTGGCGAGAGCAGCAGCCGGCTCGGCTGCTGGGCGCTGGGTAGGACTGTGTGGCGAGAGCAGCAGCCGGCTCGGCTGCTGGGCGCTGGGTAGGACTGTGTGGCGAGAGCAGCAGCCGGCTCGGCTGCTGGGCGCTGGGTAGGACTGTGTGGCGAGAGCAGCAGCCGGCTCGGCTGCTGGGCGCTGGGTAGGACTGTGTGGCGAGAGCAGCAGCCGGCTCGGCTGCTGGGCGCTGGGTAGGACTGTGTGGCGAGAGCAGCAGCCGGCTCGGCTGCTGGGCGCTGGGTAGGACTGTGTGGTGAAAGCAGCAGCCGGCTCGCCTGCTGTGCGCTGGGTAGGACTGTGTGGTGAGAGCAGCAGCCAGCTTGGCTGCTGGGCGCTGGGTAGGACTGTCATGCATATTCCCTCTTGGATGGAGAAATACTTATACGAAAATATTGACACCGTCTTCGTATAAATACTACTTTTACCTGTTTATCTTAATAAAATTGAAAATGTCGGATTGAAAAAAAAAAAATCTTGGTCAATCTTCTAAGTTGCATTTTGGGTTTTCAGTTCTGTAGGTCATGAAGTCCAAACATTAGGGCTTTATTCTTACTGTCTACATTTTCTTCGAAATCGTACCAGTGGTTGGCAAAAAGAATTTGACCTCTACTAAGCTCTGAAGAAAACTGCGTGGCCGCGCAGTTTACCATGTTTCGACCGCGCTGCCATATCATTTAAGTTCTGTAGGTCGTGAAGTCAAAGCTTCCAAGCAAGGGCTTTTTTAGTAGTCTACATTTTCTTCGAAATCGTATCAGTGGTGAGCAAAAAGCGAACTGCGTGGCCGCGCGGTTCTCCATGTTTCGACCGCGCGGCCATGGTTAAACCCTTACCATTTTCTGAATATTGGCTCTACGAATTTGCGACTTTCATTGTTAGTAGGTATTTTACAAATTCCTTCGTAAAGTTGACGTAGTCGTTTTTTTTTACGACACTGTGGCCGAGCAGTCGAAACGGACACGTCATTATCAACCCAAAGGGAAAATTAAAACGTCTATTACCGCTTATCAAACTAGTTAGTAGAAATAATTCGTCACTTGCTAAATTATTTTACTATCGACTAAGAGAGAATATACGATTTTTGCCACGTGGTATTCCCGCTTCTTGCATCGAATATCCATTACTTGTAGAATATCCAAACTTTGTAGATTTATTTTATTTACACATGCATACAATTGGATATAATATGATCAAATATGATTGTCATTATCAATGTCATATGTATTGTCATGATAGATTTTGAGGAAATATGTTTGTTTCAAAGCCAGGTAGACTACGGTGAAAAGAGTTAGTATTTAATTATATGAAATAAAAAGGGAAAAAGGTGTTAGTGTCCTATAACGTCCATAGAACACATGGGAACTACCTACCAGCTCTTGCTGGTGTTTTCTGTTTCACCTTTTCAAAGCTAGATGTCCCCAAGTCTTTAGATAAGGTGTGTTGAGCAATAACCTAATTTACAATGACAATAAAGTAAATATAGTAGTTGAACATAACATACCTACATTATTACGTAACTTAAAATATATTGAAGCAAACTACATAATTTAACAATGTTTTATACACGTTTCGTATCACGTGAACGAAAACGTGTTTAAATTTGTTGTATTAAAATTCTTTTGTAATACTATCGTTGCTTTGTTTCGACACTTGGTACAATATTTAAAAAAATCCACACTAAAATATTCGCTCATTTTTTCTGACTCAATTGACAGGAAGACGGTTACAGCAATATGTATTTATTTTTATTTAATTTCATTTTCTTATAATATATGAATATGAATCGGAGCCCGACTGGAAAATACTTCCACTTTGACAGAAGCTGCAATTAGAGAAGTAAAGTACCTACCTGTAGAAATAATAAGACTGTTCCCGGATCCCTCCTATTACAGGCGCAGAGTGGCACACCGTGTGGTTTTAGTCGGTCCGAGTCCGACACACCACCCCGCCGCAAACCCCGGTGGGGTGACGGTCCGAGGGGATTTCCACACGTTAAAAAAAAAAAAAAGGAATGTTAGTAAAAAAAATCTCAAATGCAGCAGCAACCTCAGCATTTGATGTGATAAATTTATTGTTTATATTTAAATTAAATTTATTATCACGGTATTGATTTTTGCCAGTTTCACTGTTAATATTTTTCCAATTAGTTTTAATCTTATCATTGCTACTTTTAATCTTTAAACTTATAAAACGAGACTCAATTTACAAAGTTTCCTAAACAACTTCGAATTTTCTTTAACATAATTATGAAACTGCTCACTTTTATTATAATTCCTCTCATCTTATAGCTCATATAATCTTTTCCTACTTTTGAGTAAGCTGGGCCATTAACTAAATGTGGCGTTACCTTTAACCACTAGCGTTTTTTGGTGTAGAAATGGTTTTGAACTAATAAAAGCAGTTGAATTTTTTGCGTACTATATGATACTCTGTTTCGTTTTTCAACCTACGGGTCGTTACCCTACTACGGCTAAACAATAAGGTGGTATAGCCCAAAACCGACTAAAATCACGGAGTGTTCCTTCACAGAATCCTTGTTGCATGGTCCTCATCTGTACCCTCGTAAGGAAATTGCTGTAGCTGTTATCAGCATGCTGTCAATTCCATGCAGAGCACTTCAGTAGAGTTTGGAGTATCTATCCTGCTATCCTGGCGGTTGCCGCTGTGGTTGTGTCAAAGATACTCGCCGTAACAGCCATGTCCGATAAGTACCTGAGTCATCTACAGAATATATTACTACCTATGTCTCTCCAGTCAATTATACATGACGGGCGTTCTTCGTTCGCTCCACTCAGCTTTTATGGAACTAAGACCGTCATGTCTTGTTGACTGGAATTCATGGAAACTATTAAATTTATCTAAAACAAAAATAATATAACAACAAATTTATAATTATTAATGTCCCTGTGTTTCTAGGACCCAACTTGTATTTTATTGTAAAAACATTGTTTCAAACTCAAACTCTCTTTATTAAATAAAAAAATTCAAATTGTTTGAAATCGTCTTTTATGTAGACTCTGAAATCACAGATCAACAAACACAATAGCAAAAATCTCTGCCTCGTCAAATAGTAAGCAAAATAAATTTAATAAAAATTAAACTTCTAAAATCTATGATATGCATGTGCCGATCTACAACCGTCCGTTTTCAAGGGGTTGAGCATTATGAGAAGAAAGGGCAAACAACTCATGGCTTTCAGATAGAAACAATGGTATCATTAAAACACTATTGTGGTATATACCACAATAGTGTTTTGACGTGTGCCAGTTAACTGTTATTAAGGACTAAAAGGTGAAAAGACAATGAAGAAAAAACAAGATTAAGATAAAAAAAACGTTTACAATATGCTTAACATACATAAACACTGAGGTTTAAAGACAAGCGCGTAAAAATTATAATCATCACACCTATGTAAAACCCTCATTTATTTAGGATTAAGCTTGATAATTAAAAGAATACGCATTATAATAAAACGTACTTAGATTATGTAATAATACTGTAATTAATTCACACTCATATAAGAGCGTAATCTTTTATCTAAAATGATGTTTGCCGTACTTACACTCTTTTGAGCGCACTACTCAGTCACAATTGTAACATTCATCATCCCACTAATAAAGCCCAACCTAAGTAGAATCATCAACAGTCTTTAATAGTCCATTGCTGGCCATAGGCCTCACCTTAGAAAGGAGGTTTTTTGTCATTTATTGCGTAGAATGATGTTTGCTAAAGCAGGGTTTATAACAAAAAAACCCGCAAGTAAAATATGATGATTAATACTCAACTTATTTGCTGACTACTACTTGCTACTTGATTGGCCTGCTGTCTAGTGGTTAGTGACCCTGACGGCTAAGCCAGAGGTCGTGAGTTCGAGTCCCTCCCCGGACAAATAATTGTGTGATGAGCACGATCATTGGTTGTTTCCGGGTGTAATTTATCTATATTATGTATGTATTTAGAATTATACAAAATATGTTCATCATATGTGTATGTGACCAGCACAGGCGCTCCATAGTTTAGGATCAGACTGCCGCGTGTGAGATGTGTGAAGTTATTATTATAATATAATTCTTCTGTCAATCCAATGTCGAACAAAAATACCATCCCTATTCATACCGTGGGTGTCGTAAGAGCCGACTGAGGGATCAAACTACGCAGGATAACAGCACTACAAAGAGAAGGAAAACTAGATACCAAGCCGTCTGGCCAGCGTGGAATTGTAGGCCAAAACCTCCTTTCTAAGGAGAGGCCTGTGTCCAGCAGTGGACTAGTATTGATGATGATGATGCTGCTGAATTCTTCTGTACGTGTGTATGTGCCTGAACTCCTCTTAAACGGCTGGACCGATTTGATGAACTTTTCAGTGTGTGTTCAAGTGGATTCGAGTATGGTTTTAATTCACAATTCAATCCACTACAAAATGTTTTTTTAGTTTAAGACGAGAGTACAGGACAGGTCTATTGGTTCCGATGGTACTATATAAAAAATTGGAATTCTGACAGGCAAATACCTGATCTTGCTGTCAAGTATTTGCTGTCAGAATTCCAGTTTTTTCTCTTCGTTCGTTTTTGTTCCTATTTTGAAAATGGATGAAAGTTGGAGTTATTATTATTATTATTATTGATACACTTTTTCAACATGTAAACATTAAATATACTTCCGTCAGCCAAATTTGTTAAGGGGCACAAAGAATTTTCTTCACGTATAGATACGTCATTAAAATACCACTTATATTTATTACCTACTTATCTATTTTCAACCAGTGTTATGAGTAATTCTTGCTAATTATGCGTATCAAGTGAAGATTTAATAATAATGACTCAGCCGCTCAACAATGTAAGTAAAATGTAACTGTTCGAAGAAATATCTTAACGTGAGCAAAAATAGTTTTAATGTACGACTGTTTCCATCAGCATCCCTCCGAAGAATATACCGACGGGATTGATTAAACCACTATTTCTGGAATAGAATACGGCTAATAGGTCCATACCTATTCTATTCTCCTATTCTATTAAGAAAAAAACAAAAAAAAAAAAAATATGAAAGATTAAAAAAAAGGAAATGGAAAAATAATTGGTCTAGTTTTTTCTTTTTAAACTTTTGATATTAACAAAAGAATACAGAATAATATATAGGTAAGTTTAGACACATCATGTACATGCCTTATCCAGTTTAGGAAGCCATTGAAGGCGAGGCGAGGCTCTCGCTTACACTGGGACTTTCCGCCGTGACGCCTCTCCGCAAGGCGCCGAGGCAACTTTCTCCCCCGATCAGTTTTTTTTATCCCAGTTAACCTTCTTCTTTGTCTCATTTAAAAACGATTAGGTTTCCAAAGAGGCTTTAGTCAAAGAAGATACC